TTGCAGACGGGGCCCCACGGGCACAGACCTAGAAGAAGGGCATTGGGATGGAGCTCTGCCCACACAGCTTATTCCTCCCTCCATTTCCATTTCCAGACAGCCTTGTATTTCAGGCTTAAGCTACTTGGCAAGAACCCTTTCAGTTAATGAGAAACATCTCCTGACCTACATCAGTTTGGGTGCTATTAATAACCCAGCCTTCACGGAGAGCAGCGGCTTCGACCGCCGGCTGGCAGGAGCTGTTCTGCTGAAAAGAAGCATCATTTGCTTCACTCAGTTAATTTCAATGTGTTGTTCTGAAGGGGAAAAAAAAACAAAACAAACTTGTAGCTTGCTTTTAAAGGGTAACGTAGATGAATTTTATTTTGGCTCGTAAAATGTCTGCAGGGTTTTTGAGTCAGCTGAATTACTGGTTGTGGTAATGTCAGTAAGGGAAGGACTGTAATCTTCTACTTCAGATGTGATAGAAATGCATCACTGCAGCCTGTTTACTTCCCTGTAAAACCTTCCCTTTATCTGTTTTGCATGGCTTAGCTGGTAGCCAAAGGGATTGGGTTAAATATGTGTGTCTGTATTTTCTGAAGTCATGGCTGTGAGTAGTGGCTGATTTGACATGATTGAGTCTGGCTATCAAAGACTTGGCATAGCACAGGTGTGGAAGTTTGGCACAGGAAATTTGGCACCCTTGGCAGAGGGTGCTGGTGATCATGAAGAACCAGACATGTACAGCTTGATCCTCTGCTGTGAGAGGGAAACAGGCAAAAATAACTGGAGCAGTTACAGAGAAAAACGTTAACAAGAAAAAAGAGGTAGAAATGTTTGGAGGAAAAGCATATGCCTGGTGGCAAGCTTTCTAAAATGCTAATTTTTAGAAAGACATACTATAACTAATGAATGGGAAATTATCCAAAAATATTTTAATTCAGTGGCAGTCTGTAGAAATACAGGGTAAGATGAGTCCAGCTTAAGTGTAATCTGTTACTGTACTCATGAAAAATGTATGTGTAATAGGTAACCAAATTAATGTGTGGCAACATGTTTTTTTCCTGGTAGACCATTTGGAAGAAATTAATTTCCTTGAAATCATCATTTGAAGTGTATTTACAATAAAGCCCTGCTATTCATGTTACTCTGTCAAATGTAAATGGCCTGAGACTTTTAGGAAAGTATCACCATATTGACAGGATAATAATTTGCTATGAACTGCATATTAAATTAATCACTTTGCAGATGTATCACTGGAGGACACGACAGTCCAGCAATGCCTGTATTTAATTAGCAAGGCTGTTGTCTGTTGATCATACTGTTTCTGCATCTTAAAAAAGTCCTGGACCTCCTTACATGCTTCTTAGATGAGTACCAAACTGCATCCACTGCTCTGCAAGAATTCAGTGTTTTGAGGAGAAGCAGCATTCAGATGGTGAAGTTTGGTTTTTAAGTGAAATGCAAAATGATCCTTATTATTGATTAAAAAATGATGGGGGAATGCTTGAAGATGGTTTTGCAGTGCCTGGCTGACTGTGTTCCTGTGCATTTTGCTCTGGGCAGTTCATGGCTGTGCAGCCGTGGCCCTGAGCTTTGCTCTGGGGCTGAAACTCCCTCCAGCTTTCTCCTCCCAGGGCTGGTGTCACTCAGGGCCTTTCTCCAAGGCTCCTTTGCAAATCCAGACACTGATGGATGCTGCCCAAAGCAGGCAGATGTTTTGGAGGAACTTCTCTCTGACTTGTGCCTTTTCTTCCCCCATGCAGCTGAAGGTGGCCAGAGCAGTGGGCAGTTCCAGGGGAGACCTTCTGAAGTGTGGTCACAGTGGCAGAGCCAACACCACAACCAGCAGAGTGGTGACCAGCACTCACACCCACAGCCCAACCAGACCGAGGTGTTCCAGGTGAGGAGAGCTCAGAGAGCCCAGAGTCCCTCTGATGACCCCTCAGTTCTGAGTGAGAGCCATTGAGGATCAGGGTGCAGCAGGGTCTGGAGCAGTTCTCTGCTGCAGCATGCTGCCATAGACCTGCACTGCTCTTAGCTGCCCTTAGCTACTGGGGTGGTTTGGGTTTCTGCCACACAACAGCATCTTTGCTGATGTAGAATGCTGTTTTCCCATCTCTTTGCACCTTATAGTTCGGGCTTTCATCTTTTGCAGAGAACCCATGAAGTATTCCCAAGCAGAGTGTCTTTCTTATCCTGGTGCTGGCCTCTGACATCTCAAGTTCCATTAGATATCAATGTCATTCTCTTTGACAGTTCAAGCAGGAAAGGAGTCTGATACTGCATAGAAGATAGTGGACAATAATTTTTTTAAGGTTAAACCCAGTCAGGTACCAGATAAGGTGGTAAACAATCATCTTCAACTACGTAATTAACTCTAATTCTGAGTCTTGACAACAGATAGCAAAGTCCTACTGTAGAGTGGGACTTCATAAGTTGACTAATAACATATCTGTCCTTGTATAACTGGTTTTTAAATTAGAGGAAGAAGACAGTTTAGAAGGAAGCAATGCAGATAAACGCAGGACAGACAGTTCAAGCCCCAAGCAAGGTTTAGAAGTGGGGCGTCTGCTTGTCTTTTGGAAGTAAATTCACCTGCAAGACTGGGCTGGTGTGCAGCTGCTCACAAGAACACTGCAGAAGAGCTGTGAGCATGGGAATATTGCTGTGTGGATGAACCATTGCTTTCACACAAGCTCAAACAGCAGCACTTCATCTGGAATAACTACTGCCTGTCTGCGTGCTCTTAGCCCACAGCCCAGCCAAGCTTGGTCTGTTGCATCTCTTCGTGTTAGCAAAGGTTAATTGCTATCCAAGAGGATATTCAGGGCAATTCCAGTGGAGCTGATGACAGCATGGTTTGGTGGCCAGCAGAGACATGGAGCTCCAAGCAGTGTCTTGCTTGTTTCTTAACAAAATTCTCATGAAGTTAGTGGAGAGGAGGACCATGGGTTAAAAGGAGGGCTGGGCTCATCTGCAGAGCTCTTGGAGGCATGCATTTGGAGGGAATTAGGATAATAGCTGGATGGGATGAAAAACTTGGATGAATTTAAAGGCCTCCAAGAAGTTGCTTGGATTGTGCCCAAAGTCAGCCGTGGGTTAGCTGGGCTTAAGGAGAGAGCATACTCAAGAGGAGACCTTGCTGGATCTGTGCCTGAGGAGACTTTGCCACAAAGGCCCCAGCAGCAGAAATGCATTCAGGGATGGAAATGTAGACAGGAGAGGGCAGCTACAGCTTCCCTTTGGCTGGGAGAGAATGTGGGAAAGCAGCAGATAAGTCCAAGTTTAGGTCAGAAAATGAAGGCGGACCCTGGCAGCTCAGACACTGCCAGTTGTGTTCTCACCACACTGACAAGGATGCTGTGAAGATTTCAGATGGATTTTAGTCAGTCTTTATTTTGGAGGAACTGCCCAGTATGCAGCAGCTCTCAGTTCTTTCACAGAGCTGATCCTGTGAGCTTTCTTATTTGTTTTTTTGGTTTTGTTTTATTGTGAGGATAATGAGCCATCCCTGGCAAGACTTGGGTTTGTGGTAAGAGCTTATTATTGTAAGAACTAACAGGAAAAGCAAGCGTAAACTCTGGTTTTCCCAGCAAGGGATATCTTTTCCCTGTGGCTTCAGTCTCCAGCTGAGAGGAAAGGTTGAGTGTTTTTTGAAGCCTCCTGCAGAGACCTCACTTGGCTCAAGACACGTGAGAGCAATTACCACAAAATCCCATTCTCCTGAGAAATTCTTGCTATTTCCTCTGTACAATCATGAAGGCTGCTTTGGCACCTTGGTAGCTGGGGTGGATGTCCAGTCTTGAGTGTTCCACAGAGCAGTGCTGGGTGAGGAAGTGAGACCTTGCCCCAACCCATCCTGACACAGCTGGAGCTCCAGTGTGTCAGATGTTGTATACTCCCCATGCAGTGAAACCAGAGTTTGCTTCTCTCCATATGTAGCTCCCATTCCAAGGGGAGCTGTTTCAGTCTGGGAGGAGTAGGAGGCAGCTCAAGTGTGTTTTATTTCAGAGGAGCAAGCCAAAACTTCTGCTCTGTCCCACCTCTTGTTCAGAAACACTCTAGCAAAATATAGGTAGCACATAAACCTTAGTCCAGCCCTCTGCACAGGTCTGGTTTTCACCTTATTTATCTAAACTTGGCCTTTCCTGGTTTTACACTGAGAAGATGAGCAGGAAGCAGTTTGAGTCTGGATAATGTGTTGGCAAGTGAGACTTCACTCTGATTTTTCCTTATTGTGCAGGACATGCTGCCGATGCCGGGGGATCCAACGCAGGGCACTGGCAATTACAACATTGAAGATTTTGCTGACCTGGGCATGTTTCCACCTTTTTCTGAGTAGCTTGCGAAGCAGAAATGGAAGTTCTTCTTCTCCAAGGCCATTTCAGTGTAATTTTGGCGCTGCTTTTTCTGTGTTGCATTTCTGTAGAAGCTACTAAACCAGAAGACACATTTCTCACATTTCAGATAGTGGTGTGGGGCTTGCTCTCTCCTCCTTGGGGTGTGTCAGTGCCAACAGAGGAGCTCCAGCACTTGTTAGTGTTCATTGACAGCTCCATTGTTATTTTTTTTTATTTTATTGTCATCTACCTCAGAGATAAAAATTTTGCTTGTTTTTAAAGAAAAATCTCTGAGTCTCAAATATTTGAATGTGAATGATGCATAATATTTCCTTTGAATGGTAATTTTTCAATAGATAACAAAGTAACAAAGACTAACAGAGAAAAGGTAAGGTCATGTCTAGTGCCTACCGCTCAATTTTGATGCCTTGCTTTAAGCTTAAGTTTCTGAAAGCAGACACAATATTCTGTTTTCTTTGATTCTTGTAGGTTTTAGGTCACTTTAAATGTTGAGATTAAGCAACATAATGTAGGCCTCTCTCACCAGAAGATTCAGCTCTGCCTTTTCTAACTTAAACTTGAATGTGTGTACATTTTGGTACTTTATGTATATCTTGTGCTGTATGAAGTGATTTTCTGTACTGGTTTCTTTTGCCTTTACAAAGGGTCCATTCTGGAGTGTACTGAAAAGGTTGATGATGTATGTGAAGGATTTGAATATCGTGAGAGTCTCCATCACTTCACATAGGTGTTCTTATTTTTAATTCAGGTGGTTCTCTATTCAGAACAAACATTTACTTACATAAGCTATTAGTCTGGTTTTGCACTGAATTGAGGCCTATAACTTTGTACATTTCTCACTGGCTGCTTTAATTATTATTGTTCTTGCTTTCCCAAAAATATTGCCTCTTAAAAAATGACTGTAAACACATCGAGATTGCATTTTCTATATTAGCTGCATTTCCTTTCTGTGAAGTACTTTTTTATACTGTGAAACCTCACATTTTAACAGTGCAAGGTGGTGGCCTGTTACTAGGAAATCATTCAAGCTCATTTGCTGCAAGCAGTGAGATGGTTTTGTAGTGTATGATTTTTTAGAGTGGGTTGGTAATAGATATTGATTGGGCTATTGTCCACTGCATACACAGTGATAACTTGAATTTTTGCTTGGATTCCCAAGCAAATGCTTCTGTTAAACCCTGTTAACCCTGTTCCGTTCAATATGGGATTTTCAGCTTACCAAGTTTGTTGAGGACTCTTGACTGCTCTGAATGCCGTGTGCTTTTCCAGAGAGGTAAGTTAATCACCTTCCTCTTGGGCAAGTCACCACCCATGTGTCTTCATCAGAGATGTGGTAGGAATCTTTTTGTTCAGTATTTCATGTGCATGATGAGTTACAGAGGTTGCATTGTAAGGATTTTATCCTGGTCATTTCTTCTGGGATGGGAGGAGAAAGAGTCACTCACAAAGCCCCAAGTTCCTGTGTGCAGGTTGTTCATAACCTTGGAGGTTGGGTGGATAGGCAGCCTCTGCAGAGGAGGAAGGGGCAGCTTCCCTCAGCTTTTGGACATTCAGGGACCTTGAAAGTGCAGCCCCAGGGCACAGCCCCCATCCAGAAGATCTCAGTATGTGCAGCAATTCTTGAACTTCACAGGATTAACTCTGCCCTCTCATAGCCCCTGTCAGATTCTAGGGTGTCTCTGAGTGGGGACACAGAGCACATCAGCACAGTCCATATTTTTGGGATAACATCCTGGAGAGCAGGCAGGCCCTGCCCCACAGCCCCCCTGGCCATGCAGGTTTCAGGTGAGCATGGCCCAGCTGGGACATGGCTGGCACAGATGGGGCTGTGCCCATGGACACTGTCCCAGCCTTCTCCCAGAGCAGCATGTCATGTTCAGTAGGCAGGAAGAGTCCTTCTTACCATTCCTTTCATTAAACCTGGGACCAATCTCTTACCCTATGTGCAAGTGGGGCTAGGGAGTCTTTTTTTAGGACAGTTTTGTATATCTCTAGATGAGGTACTGGAGAGGCCTCAGATCTCCTGGTCTGCACTTGCCTCACCAAATCACACTTGAGAACAAACAAAAATCTTCCAATCTCTCCTTCCCCAGAGATGAGGAAAATGCCATCTTAGGTGAGCAAGCCATGTGCTTACGCACTGTTCTTTTAAATACATGGATGTTTATTCTCTTGGAGCCATCTCCCTTTCCCCTCATGCTGCTCAAATAAATGACTGCTCATGGAATTGGAGAGGCAAAGCTTTGCTGCCTCAGAGTAAAGTTCACTGGTGTCTCTAAGAGGTGCCTGGATGCTGCACCAGTGAGTGAGGTGCTCAGTGGCTGTGCAGGGTTCTGAAACTGCTGCTTACGAGGGAGGGAGCAGTAGCTGAGCAGTTTGTGTCTCTGCACAGGAGATGCTTGACGTGATAAATGTCAGTTCTTCTGAAATTTTTATAAATTTTTCCATGAAGTGAATAATGAATTCAGTGAAAAAGTGCTGTTCCTGTGTTTTATTTTACCCAAAAAACTGCTTGAAGTATATTTATAGTTTATTTTACTTCCTGAATTCAATTTTTAAATAAGGTTTTTAAAGTAATTTTCTTTCTCCTGACATCAGCAATGATAACTTCCTCAGTGTGTCATGGGTTTTATACTACTGGAGAAGGCTTCCCGTGTACAGATTTTGGTTGTGCAGTTCAGAGTGCACTGTTAGAAGAAATTTAAGCATCTCTCTTTTTCTTGTTGTTTTTTTGAAGTCAGTACGCCTGAGGGATCAGAGCATGGACAGCTTCTCACCTTGTGGGCTCCTCCTGCCTTTCGGCTGGGAAAGGTGATGGCTGCACTGTTAGGGGCAGTGTGGATGGTGCCCAGCTTGGTTTGGGTTTTCCCTGGCAATTCTTGGCATTTCCACCCTTGTCCTGCTCCTCTGCCATTCCTGGCCATCCCATCTCCCCCCTAGCCCGGGTGGGAAGTGTTGGGCTGCCATTCCCGGGCCAGCAAGGAGGGAGCAATTAATTAAGGAGGGAGTTTGGCAACTTTGTGCTTTGAGCAAGCAGAGCTGCAGGTGAGGCTTTGCCAGTGCTGCCCTGGCCCCACCGTGCCCGTGCCTGATGCTCCCAAAAAACCACCCCAGGTCTTGTGGCTGACAGAGCTGTGTCGCCTTGGCTGTGCTGTATCTTGTGTTTGGTTACTAAAGCAACTTAACTTATCCTATAGCTGCAGTTATAAGGTGCATTGGGAATGCCAGTGTTTTTATTACGTGCTGTCAGTGTAGCTTTGTTGGCACTTCAGCTTGTAATTTCCAGAATTTCATAGGTGGTGGATTTCTAATTTCTTTTGTGGGGTTGGTTTTTTATAAGCTGGAAATAAAGCTGTGATTTCTGATCGAACTGTTGCAAACACAGTGTTTCTTGAAACTGAATCTTTTGGATTTTAAACTAATAGAGCGAGAAACTGCAAATAGTGATGATCTGGGTGAGTTATTTCATGGAGCAGACATGGAGACTGAGACAGTTTTAGCTACTAAAATATTTATATGCATCTATTCAGTCAAACAATACAAGACTCCATCACATTACTTGTACAAATGCTACTGGCAGTACCTACAGTGATGCTTTAACCAGATAGTTCCATTTGTAGCTTTGTTGCCTTTTCTTTTCTTTTGAAGTACAGTATGAAACTGTAAATACTTCTTGCAGAACTGCCTTTTTAACTCTTAATTACTTTTGGCACAGTGTTAAATAGTGTTGGATTTACCCAATTGCTATGACATATATTTTTATACATAGGTGTACTCTTTTTTCGAGAATAATACAGCCATTTTGTCATTAATGCCTTATCGGTGTCATACTGCTGTTGCTCTTTGTTTGCAAGGTATCGAGTGGACTAATTTCTAGTTCAGATATTTTCACTTTTCCTGGCAGTGCTCAAGTTTGGCTTCAGGTGATTTTTGCCAGAGCCCCATTTTTCACAGTTGTTAACTGTGAGAAGAAGAGAATGTGGGCTTGGGCTTGTTGCTGTTAACGGAGCAAAGAAAAGGTGATGGCATCTAATTGTCTTTAAAAGGTCAGTCTTTTCCTACTCTAAACCAGAGTGCATTTCATTAAACTGATGATTGTGGGCACTGATTACTTTGTGTAGATTAATAGTCTTTAAAAAAGAAAGGGAAAAAAAAAAAAAGGAAACAACTCCAAAAATGGGTTTCTGTCATTGTTAGGCACTTGGTTATCTGTTTAAACTCTTCATATTGATGTGAAATTGTGCTGTGGATAAAGTGTATTTTGTACTTCTGAATGTTCTATATTTATGACTAACAAGTACAGAATCAGTTGTGTGTATGTATAACTAATAACTGCCTTTTTAAATTTCATTAAAATAAAAATGTCATGAGCTGTTGTTAATTCCTGTCTTTCTGTAAATAAGTAAAATATGCTGTTGGGAATTGTCAAGTAAGAAATAACCCTGAATTATGAGAATTATATCTGTGCCAAAAATCAGAAGATGAGGCATTGATCTTTGTCTTTGAAGTCTCCTCCAGTGCTGTGTGGTTGGGGACAGGATGTTCCCCTTTTTCTGTCTTGTAAAGGCTGTCCAGAGGGAGCAGGAAGGGAATGATAGTTTGAGAGCTCAACTTTTAGAAGTGTTCCAGAAAAACATTAATTAACAGCCTGTTCTACTGATGATGCTGAGGTGTGTGAACTGGTGTCTGTATTGTAGAGGGTTTCATTAGAACACAATGGGTTTAGAGCTAATTCATGGTCTGGGGCAGTGTTTATTCACTCCCTGGGGTGGTATCACAGTGGTTTCCTTGTCTACCTTTTGGTCTCATTGTTCCAAGTTAAAAAATACTTGTATCCTTGCCACAAACATTCTGTGACCTTTTCAGATTGCCTGTGTAAGGCACATTTTCCTTTCACTGTGAGTCTTCATTGCATTTATATTGCTATTTCTTTGACTTGATACTTTGTGAGCAGGATTTACCTTGCTGTAAATGCAAAAAGTTGGTGACTGTGCCATGGCAGGAGCTGAGGACACTGCTCCAGGGCCTGCATTCCTGGCACGGAGTAGGTGGTATTTCCACAGCTCATACTCCATTTTTAGGGCTCTGCTTGTGGAGAACAGGCGTGGGCTCTGCTGGGACCTGGCCAGGAGCTGGGGCACTGGGATGGGATGAATGAGATGCAGCCAGCAGCCCCCTGCTCTGCTGAGCTCACTGTGTGCTCATCCCAGAGACACAGGTTGGTCAGGGGAAATGGGCCATTCCTGCTGTTTTGCAGTGAAAATTGGGGTTTCAATGAAGTTGAATGCTGTTCTTCTGGCATTGTTCAGGTGCTGTGAGCATCTCTGATGAGCAGGCATGTGCCAGACCTTGAGCCCCTTTTGCTTTCATCCTGGCAGATCTTTGCTGCTTTTCCGGTGCACTTTAATAGGCTTGTAGTTGCTTTTGAAGAACATTATCCCAACAGAAAGGCACACACAGAATGGCTGTTGCACCCATGCCAAGCGGGTTACAGCGTGGTTGGGCTGTTTTAAGATCCCTCCTAGCACTCCTTTCACGTGGGTCATCATTAGCTGCGCTCTCACGTACTAAATCAAGTGTACTTCTGGGCACCGTGGTGACAGCTGGGTGTGGGAGTGCTGGGAGATGCTGCTTGTGGTGTGGAATCTGGGTTTGGAGATGCTGGATATGGAATGGAGCCACGTGTTTGGTCACTGGTGGTCTCAGCAGGACACTGTTGTAGAAATCCATTCAGGCTGGCACACAGGGAGAAAATGCAGCTAAGGCTCACTGTGTCACTACACCATCTTTGTCTCTATCAACTGTCACTAATGAATCAAAACAACAGGTTGAGTCTTCATTATGATGATAGAAATATATTTTCTTTATTTTTCCATGGCAGCTATCTCTATCAAAATACCATCATGGTTCAGGAAGTATTGCTCATTTAATTTTCCCAGTTTCTCTCCAAGTTGTATATAACAGGAACAGGTACAGGATGAATTCTTCCATTCTCTTTTACCAAGTTTCAGCATATTCCTGGTTGAAAATACTTGGCAGCATCTTTCTTCAAACTTCGTGGTCTGTCCCACATAAAATGAAATGGAATCGCTTGAGCTGTATTAATGGATTTGGGATATATCCAGGGGTTGCTAGGGCATCTTTTCATTAGCTCTGGAAAAAATTATCTTCTAATTATAGACTGGCACTAAAATACTAATATACAAAATGTGCCATTTGGGACCCAGTTGAGAAAAATGTCACTGCTGGGCTCACCCTGGACAATGCAGCAGTGCATTGCTGTGGCTTTTGCAGACAAAAGTGTAAGGGCTGTACACACACCACTGCAATGACAACTGTGCAGACAGAGCCTAGGGACAGAAGACAGCCCCAGCTGCAGCTTTGGAGCTTTCCCAGCACACACACCCCTTGTTAGAGATCACCCAACACTTTGGTGTCCTGCTGCCTTTTAAAAATAGCAAGTACTTCTTTTCAGTTAGGAAAGTAAGTTTTTAAATACTTGGAGTGTTGTTGAAAACAAGAAGCAGTGCAAGGTTTAACTCCTTTGGTGCACTCTGTCATCCCAAACATGTTTTGGGTGTCTCTCAGGGACTCCCCCCAGTCTCTGCCCATCCCTGGCTATGCTGTGGCTGATGACCCTTCCCTTGGAGCTCAGTGCAGTTCTGTGTGTGGCCCTGATGGGAAGCGGCTTCACTCTACAAAACAAAATCACAGAATAGTTGTTTTCCATTTAGCACTGAAATTACTAGTCTGATGGACCCATTGCCACTGAGGACCAAAGATTTTGAAGACCTGAGTTGCTGTTTGCTTTAATGTCTGAGGCCTCCAATTTGCTAAATGAACACACAAGATAAGACACTGTCCTGGCACTTGGAAACACAACCCACTGCCTTCACTGCAGTGCATGTAGCAGGGGGCAAAGGTGGATAATGATTCTTCCCACTCAGTGAAGGAGTTTGTCCAGTGGAATTGTCTCGGGAGCTGCCCTGCTCTCCCTGCATGTCATTTGACTCCTCCTGGATGTGACAGAACAAGGATACCAAAGCCTGACTCACAGAGGGATTGTAAATGATGTGGGATACCTTCCTTCATGGAAATCACGCTCATAAAAATGTTACATTCTTTTTGGTTCACATAATTTGGAGCAAAAGTCATCAGTGTACTGATGTACTGTGCAGTGCTGCTGCTGCTGAATTAAATGGTATTTCATTTTAAAATGGGACTGTTAATGGATGTGTCCCATCCTTCTTCTGTTACCTGCTGCTGCCTTCTCCAGCCACCAAGAGAGTGCAGAGTACTCTGAAAATTTAGAGCAGGTTGAGGTAATTCAGGCTGGTCCCTGGATGTGAGGAACAGCACGAGTCAACTTGCTGCAGCATGCTCTGCTCTGGGAAATGGAGTCACATGGACCTCACCTGCATAAGAGGTACCTGGAAACACCAGCTTAGACCTCCCCAGATTTCCCCTTGGCACAGCTTGCAGAGGTGGGATTGCATTCCTTGATCTTCCCCCAGTGCTCTCCAGGATGTGACTGATCAGCCCAGCAGAGCTCCTGCATGGCTCCTGTTCTAAAATGGAAAAAATTACACTGTAGTGAAAGAAAGTCTGGGTTTGGGCGGTGATTTTGTGCAGTGTCAAGGAGTCATGGCCTCTTCAATAGCAGGCCCATGTGTCATCGTGGTTGTCTTGTGTAGTCAGGAAAAAGTTCCTGCCCAATGATTTATTTGGTGACGTAGGAAGGGATCTTTGTCATTGTACCCACGAAGCTCAAACACTGAATGTTTACATCCATTCTGATACTGCATGGAAAACTACCAAGCCCTCTGACTGACCAGTGTTTGGATTTTCATCTGTGAAACCCTGAAAGTAGATGGTTGCAATTTTGTGAAAAATCTGCAGAATCGATATTTAGGTAAATTGAAGTGCTTATCTTTGCATTTGTCTGTTTAAAAACTGCATTTAGTGGGGTTGAGGAAAAAAAGTATTCATTGAAATTTATGAAATTCCTATGAAAAGTTTTAATTATTGAGAAACTATAAAGCATTGTGCACTTCCTTTTAAGCCATATTGATGCCCCCACTGCACAGAGATGCTTAATCCAATGGAGTTCTGAATTGGAGTTTATTTAGATTCTTCACATATTTTTTTTGACCTCTGTAACTTAAGGTCGGAGACCTCAGCAGGGAGTCAATGGAAGTTGTCACTTTAATCATTTTAGTTCTAAAAGTTCATCAAAGTTATGCGAATTGACCTAAATTTTCAGATCCTGCTGAGGGAGTGGGGTTCTGCACTAACCTGCCAAGGCTGACCTGGATATATCAGCTGGTAATGAAATACTGGAGCAAACCTACTGAAGTGTCAATTATGTAAATAAGGCTACTAAAAGGCAAAAATCTTAATTCAGTGAAAGGTAACATTTGATATTTATAGATCACTATAGATACACAACACTTCATCTCAGAACTGTCGAGCTCAGGCAACAGATTTCCTTTGACAGGTTTGTAAAATTCCCATTTTGTCCCTTGCACCACCATGAAGGGTCAGTGAAGGGTGGGTGGATTTCTGTACTAATGTTGATAAGGTGTCAAGGCAATTTTACAAGACTCTTTTTAACACGAGCTAAGACTCCAGCGTTGAAAAAAGAGAACTTTATTAGCAGTAGTGGGAATGTCAGATAACAGATTCCTGTTTTCCTCTTGGTTTTGTGCTTGTTCTCCCATAAGGAGCATGTTTCACAGCCATTTAAAACACTGGAGCTGAGCTTCCAGCAACAAGTCCATTAATAGCTGCGACTTCCAGGAGGTTCTAAAATTGGGTTAAAGATACCCTGAAGGCACAAATTTCTTAGCTGTTTAAGTCTGCCATCCAGAAGAGAAAATGTTTCTCTCAAAAAAGAAAAGCAAAAAAAGCTTCTAGTTAATTCAGTTGTTTCTCTGAGAAACTAAATGCTGTTTGTCAGATTTGTTGATTCCCTGTCACCTATGAAATTGAGGTAAAAATGGTGCTTTTCTCAGCTGTGCCCAGAAATGCCACTGAAATGGTTTGCAGCTTCCTCTGTTTCCTCACCAGACTGGGAGCTGGCAGTGCAGGAGGAGAAGCTCTGATTGCTGAACCCCAGGTCACAGCAGGGCTTTGCAGCCACAGCCGTGGTGTGCAGGAGGTGCAGTTTGGACATCTTCTGTCAGCTGTGGGGAAAGGCTGCCAGAGGTCCTGCTGTCTCCATGCTTGGCTGAACAGAGCCTTGGCTGGGCAGGTCCCAAGCTGGGGAGAGCTCTGCTTTCCCAGGAGGTCCCTGTGGTGCTGTACCTTCAGTGTTCCTGGGATCCAGTGGGGTCAGCTCCAGCCCTCAGCACAGCCATGGTGTCAGACAAGCACAAAGTC